AAAATAAAAGTGTTTATGTGGTTTGTCCATAAACAAGTTATTTTAACAAAGGACAACTTGATAAAGCGTAATTGGATAGGACCTACTAGGTGTAGTTTCTGTGATCGGGATGAGACGATTAAACACCTCTTTCTTGATTGCCCGTTGGCCAAAGTTCTTTGGCGGATGGTACACATTGCTTTTAATATTACTCCACCGAATTCTGTTAACTCGTTATTTGGGACATGGCTTAATGGGATTGAGTCTAACTTAGCGAGACATATTCGTGTTGGAGTTTGCGCTTTGCTGTGGACTATTTGGAATTGCAGAAATGATTTGGACTTTAACAGAACATCACGTATTCACTTTTTGCAGGTTATTTTCGGAGCCACGACAGTGATCCGTTCGTGGTCGCTACCCACTCCGATGGAGGCCGGGGAGCATTTGGTTACTGGATCTGTCCGCTGGAAGATGGTAGTTCGGGATATCTTCAACCAGTTTGGATGGCGGTCATGTAATAGGATAGGCAATTAGTTTACCTATCTATTTTTAGCCAGCCGGTTGTGGCGTCTTTTACTTGGCTAGGTTGTGTATCTAGCCCATTTTGACTCTGTGTGAGCTTTCTTTTCAGTTTTTCCAGTTGGAGACTTTGGAACCTTGTTGGACCTTTTTATTTGGTTAATAAGTTGGTTGTATGCATCACTATGATGCAGAGGCCGGGGTAACCCCCTTTTCGAAAAAAAAAGTATATACAAACCATTGCTTGATACATGAAAAGCATGATCCTTCCAAGACAGTGACTTCAACATTTCAACCAAAACAAACTTCATGTCAATCCTTACGTTCCTGCTAAATTCCAGCTGCGCCTATCAGGATGCACATTATCTGAACATGTTACAACATGATACATCAAACAAAAATCAGTACATTCATGTATGATCAGGTTGTTGAAAATAAGTATCACTTATATAATTATTATACGTAACAAAACTTTGTAACTAATATCTAGTTTTATAGATGTGTAACATGTGCTCAATATCAACAACTAAATTTCCCAAAATTGTAACTAAATACAAAAAATGAAACCAAAATTATCAGTCCATAGCCTTGGAATAATTCCATTCCATAATTATTAGAAGGGCTTTAGCTTCTGGTTTATGGGCTTCTAGATATTCTATACATATTAAAAAAGAATGTTATATGTGGAGCATTTGGCTACTGGGTGCAACCGATGGGAGATGGTAGCACAAGCTGTCTTCAACCGGTTTGGATGGCGGTCGCATAATAGGATAGGTCCTTGATGTCTACTTCATCCAGCCGGTTGTGCCTTTGTTGTTTTTACTAACTTTCATTTTTTTTGTGCTCCTGGTGTGAGCTATACTTTAGATACCAGACTTTGTTTTGGACGACCTGTTTTAATAATATGACTGCATGCGTCGTTCAGATGCAGAGGCAGGGAAAAATCCTCTTTTTTCAAAAAATGTGTGGCCAATTGAAAAAGCGGTTCACATCTATTTTTTCCCTACAATTCTGTGACATCTGTCTAGTTTAGTTTTGGCCTCAAAACAGACATTTTGGACATTAATTTGTATCCCTCTGCTATCATTCCCTTGATCTTCTCCGCTCGGCATTTCTTGTTCTAGATGATGATATTTGTTTTCTAAACTTGATTAAAGTGTACACATTTTGACTTTAACTGTATTTTAAAACGAAGAGAATATATTTAATAACCAAATGAGCAGGGAAGATATTTTTTGGTCTGTGATCGATCGCGGTCGTGTAAACGGTGCATCGTCCTAGTATAGTGGACAACAACGCTAAGGTAGCTGCGGTAGGTTAAATTGGACGTTGGGTTGGATGGGTGCATGCATGCATAGGCGCCCGTCCAAGCCAGCCGACTGGCTCCAACAACGGCGCAGGAAGGACGGCGAATCCACCGGCATGCACACTGCGTTCTCACCTTTGCCCAGTACCGGCGGTCCGGGCGGCAGCCAAACCTCACCCCGGCCGACACGGCGATAGTGACAAGCACGTACGTAATCGTGGCGGTCATCACTCGTCCAACACTTATCGTGCGCAATCACCTGCGTGGTGCGTACGTACGTACTCTACGTGTGTGCGTGATCGGAAAATGCTATACTTACGGACTGTTTTGACACGAAAGGAGTTACAGATGAAAGTGCAAATATGTGGTTGGTTAGTGATGAAACCCTCAACGAAATTCAAAATGGAAGAGATTAATGAAGAGTAGGCACGTTAGCACGTAACCTCTTTCCCGTGTCCAATGCCCCGTAAGTGTAGGATTATTGGTGCGTGATCCAACCAGCTGCTTTCGCATGTGCTATTAACCGCACGTTGTAAGAGAAACGGGTCTAATACTCTATGTAATTAACCATCGTAAATGTTGGTGCTTTTTTACCCTGTCTCTGCCAGGTAGTGATAATTGACTTGGCTCGTAACTTCCACATCCGTACGTTGACCGTTGCGTTCACATATTCACGAGTGCGTGTACATCTAAAACATGCAAGCACTAGGAGGCGCACCCGCAATGACAGCGTAGTGATGGTCCGTTAAGCTCTACTAGGTCGTAACCCCGCAAAAAAAAACTCTACTAGGTCGTAGCAACTGTTTAACTTTTCCGGAACAGATGGTCCGTTAAGCTCCAATAGTCAAGAGATGACTGGTACTCCCTCCGTTCCTAAATACTTATCTTTTTAGAGATTTCAAATGGTTACCACATACGGATATATATAGACATGTTTTAGAGTATAGATTCACTCATTTTATTTTATATGTAGTCACTTGTTGAAATCTCTAGAAAGACAAATATTTAGGAACTGAGGGAGTAGAACAGATGGTCTGTAATATTTTCAGTTGGCAGGTGCCACATCATTGCGCGATGCTACAGAATTTATTTTTCTAGTTGAGGAGCTCACTGCTAATCTCACGTACTCCCTCTAGTTGGGTAGGATTTTTTGTCAATTTTACTTGGAAAAAATATATCTTGATATTCATCGTCAATTGAAGATTCTAATATGATTTTTTTGGCATACTATACATGTTTTATTTTAATTTTTATGTTTGCGGAAATACTATACATGTTTCACTAATTAAATAAAAGATCTAAAAATCCGTGCCCTTTTTATAAACCCAACTAGAGGGAGTATCATGAAACAGATGAACAAGTTGTGTTGAGGAGTTATGTGTGGATATGAAAGGATACCATGTTTCGTTGTTGGATGAATCTTCTAGTCTCACTTTTATTGAATTTGTGCCCTATTTAGTTACTTCGAAAGTCCCTCAATACCCACTCACATTTAGGCTCCACTAAGCCTTAATTGTGTGATCAGTATAGACAGCAACAAAAAAAATAGTGCATTGGTCCGGTCTTGCGCTTAAGACCCCTTGGCTCTGTTACAACGTAAAAAAATATATTATAGAGTAAATAAATCTTTCATTAATATTAATTGAACAAATAATGGATTAGGTTTTTGGACAATGATTTCTGCAATACCATGTAAGAAAATATAAAGCACTAGAATATCTCTTTGTCGTATCGATCTCACAAACCGCTGATGCTCTTCTACCATATCCAAGTACATATGTCAAATAGGCCATGAATTGTTTATCTTGTCAACGAAGTTATCCTAGCTCTTATTGTGAGGAGTAGATAGACTAAGATGGTGGCGGGGCTGCAACTTGTATGAGCCCTAGCCGTCCTTCCATATCAAAATTCGTAAATTATGTAATTTTATTAGACTGTGTAACCGTTAGATACTCCCTCCCTTCCAAAAATTCAAACCACGACAAGTCTTTTGGAACGGAGAGAGTACTTTATAAAGTATTAGCTATTTAGTATTGAATTAATACACTATACCCTGCTTAACATGCACTAAATTAAAGCTGCTAGCTCATATCTTACATTCTCAAAAGTTGGTTCCAGTTTTCTCAACATGCAAATTGTTCACCTCATCGTCCTTACCAAGGCCATGCATTTAAATCTTCTCTCTCACTAAGACATGCAATCTGCCACATAAGTGAACTTATAAATTACAACTATTTTTGCATTAGCCTATGCATGTATGGCAGCCATATACATGCATGTTAGTCATCCTTCACTTTTTTTTGAAATGATATTTTTAACAGTAATTCAAAAGTTTATATTATATTTTTAGAGACTTTTTCATTGATTTTCAAGCTTACATTTTCTTTTCATTAGATTTAGTTATTTTTTAGCAACTATCTATGCATTTTTAAATAAAGTTAACGTAGCAACGCGCGGGGTGTCTCATATTGCTACAGTGACACATGGCTACGCTTTCATAGCTGAGTCCGGCAAACAAAGAAATGCATCACCTATCAAAAAGACAAGAACACAAACTAAGGATGCTGATCATAATAAAATAAGGATATGTAAATTGATGACTACTAATTTAAAAAAATACTATTATTACTCCAAATTTATGGAGTTGCATGCCAATTATGATGTATTCCACGTACCTTTCTACGAGAAAATGGATATGTTATTCTCAGATTTCCATGTTCCTCAAAGTTCACACTACTTCCATAATTTTGAAAAGAATGTTGTTGCGAGATTTTTGAAACGAAATTTAGCAAATTCCAAAAGATGTGGGGTATACTTCTGTAAAATATAGTTCCATTTGAATTGAAAACAGTGCTAATTCTGTAAAAATTTGTATATATACTCCATTCATGTATATATAAGTGTCTACTTACAATTGAAATACATCATAATGAAAAAACAATAGATGAACCACCAGGCCACCTAATAAAAGTGGGAAAAAAAGGTGTAACTAGGTCACTCAACACACCTAGTTAAGACCATGTAATTACAGGTGTTTTCCTCCAATATAACGTGGTACCGCACACACGTATGTTGATACACACACACCAACTCATATGAACTCCCCCCAAAAAATGTTCGGACTGGAAAATTGTCTGTCTCCCACGTTCTACTGGCCAGCTAATTACCGTGATTCGTACGCCGACGGCCGTCGTTGTCAAGGCGCGCCGGTCAGCCCTACCACAGTGATGAGCAAGCTAGAGTCCTCGTCGCCGTGGGGCGCCGCAACCTTGACGCACTCGGCCGCGTCTTTCCCACCGTCTCCGTTGACATAGCCTCCGTGTTCGATGTCGTCGGCGACTCCGGCGAGCACCTGCGCCAGCTCAGCCTGTCTGTTCCAGTCCGTGCGCCCGATCACCACGAGCATCACCGTGACACACGCCGCCTGCGCGGCGAGAAGGCCAAGCCAGAGCCCCTTGAAGTCCATGCCGGACCAGAACGCGAGCCCGAGGGCAACGGGCATCCCGACGCCGTAGAAGGCGGCGAGGTTGACGTGTGCGCCGTCCTTGGGCCGCGCGCTCCCTCGGAGCACGCCGCATCCGGTGGTCTGAGGGCAGTTTCCGAGCTCGCACATCCCGAGGATAGGAAGCACCGACGCCGTGAGCGCAAGGATGGCCGCGTCCGTCGTGAACATGCGCGCCCACACGTTGCGCACAGCCACGGCGAACAGGAAGGAGATGACGCCCTGAAGTGCGCTCAGCGCGAGCCCCGCGGTGGCCACGGCGCGCGCGGCAGCTGGACGGTTCGCGCCGAGCTCGTTGCTGACCCGGGTCGACACGCCGAAGCTGAGAGACGACGGGAAGATGTAGAGCAGCGATGTGGTCTGGATAAGCACCCCCATGGAGGCGACGGTGGCCTCGGGGTTGGCCAGGAGGCCGCACAGCAGGATCATGATCTCGTACCACCACCACTCGAGGCACACGCTCGCGCAGCTCTCGACGGCGAGCCTAGCCAGCCGCACCCACGCAGCAACATCGTCCTTGAAAAGCTTGTATGACAGCGTGAAGCCACCGGTGGCATGGTGCACGCCGGTGACGTAGACATAACCGAGGAGGAAGAGCACGAGGTTGAGGTTGGTCCAGGCAGAGGCGAGTGCGACTCCTTCGACGCCGAGCCCGAGCACCGATACGAGGAGGTAGTTGATGGGGAGGTGGAGAGCGACGGCGAGCATGGCGCAAGTGGTGAGCGGGAGGTTTATGGACTGCGTGCGGAGGTAGATACGGAGCGGGTGGAGGAAAGACTGAAAGAGGAGGTCGGGCAGGCAGAATAGAATGTAGCGCTGCGCCGCGGCGGAGACGGCGGCATGCTGACCGCAAAGCAGGAGAAGCGGCTCCATCTGAACCCAGAGGAAGGCGACTGGCACGGAGACGACGAGGAGGAAGAGCACCATCCGCTGCATGGTGGCGCCGACGAGTGGCAGGTTCTTGGCGCCGACGGCCTGGCCGCAGACGGGTTCCATGCCTGAGGCGAGGCCGGACAGGACTGAGTACCCGGTGATGTTGGCGAAACCCATGGCGAGGGACCCGCCGGCCAGGGCCAGCTCGCCGAGCCGGCCGAGGAACAGCATCGAGATCATCGGACGGACGTAGAGTATGAGCCCCGTCATGATCATCGGCAATGACAGCCCCAGGATCGACACGGCCTCCTTCGCCGCGTCCTTGGTCAACGACGACGGCCTGTCAGCAAGGACGGGCGCCGACATGGACACAACGACGACAGTGTGGTCGTCAATTGGAGACACGGCCACGCCGCCGCCGTTCTTGGCATTGCACCGGCACGGCAGCAACGGCCGGTCAATGAGCCCCTCACACATGACGGCTATATGCAAGCAAAGGAAGCTCAAGCGTGCGGAGCTAGCTTTGGTTTTGGAGGGAAACTGAAACAGGGGAGGCTCAAACCCTAGTAAGGGCACTGAATTTATAGGCAAATGGATAGGACCGGTCGATGCAATTGAGAAACGAGATCAAAGCAAGCTATAGTGACTTTAGAGCGGAGCGCTCGTCGTCTTGTTGCGAAGTCCACGTGCCGCTCTCGGCCGGCCGGCGTGCGCTACCGCAGGCGACGGCGTCGCGGGAGTGCGCGCACGGGGCGTTGTTGTATTGCGCGGCTCGTAGCCTAATTCGGCCGGAGGCCGGAGCAGTGGCGAGCTTCCGTACGATGGGCTAGCTGTTTGTGGATCGCCTTGGGTGTCTCTAGGGAAAGGACAAAAATGGTTGAGCGAGAGAAGGTGTGTGTGAAGGATGAGGAGAAAAAGAGCAGGGCGGGTAGGGGGTATTTATACAATTGATTTGAGCCCATGCATGGAGTATAAGTCCTTTTAATTATCCGCACCCTTTTATAAAATTTGCTGCCTAATTATGAGATTTATCGTGTCTGTGGGCTGGAAGTCTTTGGGCCATTTTTTTAACACAGTACAATTGCAGATGCTCACAATCACACGCATATACTCACTCATATGAACACACGCACATCTCATCTTTATGAGCATCTTCGAGATCATGAGCTGGCAGTTGACAAAGTCACCACAGATGCCTCATAGTTGACGAGAATGTCCCCTTCCATTGAACGAACATCGCCGGGATGATTGAAATAAATCCAGAAAATACCAGCACAAATGCCAAATGTAGGACTTAAACCCTGATGGGTTAGTTCCACCACAAGGAACCTAAGCATCTGCAGTTCGCGGCTCATTGCTTTTAGTTTGAATTTCTATGTCGGGCTCTTGAAGACAGGGGGTGCTGCAAAATGGGTAGTACTATAATGGAGTCAATGGATGATTCTTCTTAATAGAATTGTTAATGTGAAAGATATTGGTTGAAAACTTGGAATTCTTTTGAGGCTTTCATATACTAATACTAGTAGGTGATTCAGTTTTGACTTTGGGAGGTCTTTGTGCTGTGAAATTATTTTAGTTCTGAACTTTTGATTCTATTTCTCCACGTACCTTGTCACATTAAAATAATGTCTAGGGCACAACTCGCATATCTAAATGACTTAACCATAAGAAAGAAAAGAAAAAAAAACAGTTTGGTAAAGCACATCTAAATTCTATGTCATTGATTTTACGTTAAGATTCATGCAAATATTTTCTTTGGTCCTTTTTTTTTTCTTTCTAGATTAATTGAGTCACTTGGATGTGCGATAACTAAGATAATGTGCCCTAGACAGACCCAAAAGAAAGTTTTTATCACTTTGTGTCTCACTACTCAGTTTTGCCACTAGAAATTTTAACTGCTTAAAGATGCCATCGCTTAGTTAGGTGCATGCTCAAAGATGTCACTCGACACCATGGTGGTCAGCTCAAATCCCGTTTGCCATGTCATAATGACCAAAATACCTATAGACCAACATGTCACCTCTCTCTCTATCTCACACTCACTACAATAAAGCATGGGTCCCACTTTATCCCAACAGCGTTCTTATTTTCTCTAAATTATTCATTTGCTTACTCCAAATTAACAAGTGGGTCCACACTTATCATTGTGAGGTAGAGAGAGCTGACATGTGGGTATAGGGTTATTTTTGTCATATAACATGGTCAGTGAGTTTGACCTGACAATAACGATGTCTAATGGCATTTCTGAGCAAACATCTAATGGAACGATGGCATTTTTGAGAAACATCTCACGAAGCAATGTCATTTTTAGCGGTTGTAATTTCTAATGAAAAAATTGAGTAGTAAGACACAAGTAATGGCATAAATGATAAAAACTTAAAAAAAAGGAAATATCACACGAATCTTCACCTAAGACCAATGACTTTGGACTTAAATAATAAAATAATCACTACAATAACATTGGCCACTATTTGTGGGTCAAGGCATATTAAACATACCTAAATGTACATAAAATAATCACTAAAATAACATTGGCCACTATTTGTGGGTCAAGGCATATTAAACATACCTAAATGTACCTTTAGTCTTCGGCAAAAAGTTTGCTGGACATGTGTGTCTGTGTGTGGGTAATCCTTAAAAAACAGTACCTCCCTCCTTATCCCTTAAATTCCTCTCCTTCACATGGAATGCTCCTCGTCCTCTGCGATGCATCACACACTACTACACTACTGCTGCAAGGTACGAGCATGGTAACATGTGCTTTTCGCGGCATGGTCACCTGGTTATATGAAAACGTCGGTCGGATCTATCTTGGTTGATCGTCGTCTCGACATTTGCCCGCTCAAGCTTTCTTGAGGAGTGCACATCTTAAAAACATCTACACTCGGGCGCCGCAAACCAATCTCAAACGTCTTGACGAATGGTCCGGTCACTGATCAATCATGAAAAAACGATCTAAACGAGCTCTTTAAACAGGTCTTAAATGCCCAAGCTGACCAGCACCCCTCATATTCAGCCCAAATATACGGCGGATATGTGGGCGCCCGAACGTGTCCGGACACATCCTCCACATCAGACTGGCAATGGGTTCCCAACAGAATCAGCCGAAAACCCGATGACCTGATGGACGTCTCCTCTACTAGGAGGTGTGAACGTCGCGTGGCGCCGCTCCGGCTCGCCGGCCAAGGCCAAATCTGGCTATCCCGGAGCCGGCGTCCGCCAAACCTTGCCACATCCACCTCCCCCCTCTCTGTGCCGCCAGTCCAAACCCATCCACCACCTCTCTCTCCCGCTCTGTCTTTCTTCCCACGCCGTCCGACATCGCCATGGTTCGACAAAAGAAGACCACATATGCTATGCTCATGCCGGAGCGCTCGTACCAGATTGAGCAGGACATCCGGGCAAAGCCCACCACATGCATCGTGGCCAGCTTGCCTCCGGACTCGCCGGAGTACGAGGAGGAACAGACGAGGCGGGGGAGGCAGAGGAGCAACAGTCGGCTTCGATGGAGGTGGCAGATGCGGAGCAGCCAGAGGAGGAGGAGCTGGCACCGACTCCAGGCTTCAGCATGGAGGACGCGGAGTTGGAGTTCGCGTTCGCCCAAGCAGCCGAGATGGCAAAGCAGCAGGCTATCCTGGAGTCCATCCAGGATGAGGCCTATGTGGAGGCGAACTGGTAGTTCATCAGGCAGGAATGGGCGGCGACCAATGCGCTCTTCAATGAGGTGGAAGCGGATATGGATGCGGAGGCCGACGCGGAGGATCCACAGGAGCCAGAGTTGCGGCTGCATCCATGTAACCGGAGTCGGGCACGTAGATAGTGGACATCTCCGATGACAATTAGGCTAGTATAGGTTATTTGATCTATATAGTACAGGGATTTCGTCGTTTCCATGTTTTTGTATGAGGCTTCTAGTATGAGGTATCCAGAGCAGAGGAGCAAATTTGAGGTGTGACCGGCCACTGTCCGCGAACGCACACAGGCGCATCTATGGGATTTGAGGGGTCGGATTTGCTGTCCGCGGCTGTAGATGCTATAAGAAGTGAGCTTAGCGCATCTTCAATGCGCATCCTTAAACCGCCCGCAATTGTCTGACCCGAGCGGTCCAGACATGTTTTGCCATCCAAAGCGGACCTGCATCGGTCTGTTCGGCGGTCTGGGCACACTTATTCCCATAAACAAAAGACAAACTGAGGGCTTTGCGGGAATCCGGGTTGCTGTCATGTTCGCGTCTGACTAACTTGGCCCACCAAAAACCCCTCTCTCACGCCCACGCGCATTGCCGTCAGAAAAGGTCAGCGCCGCTCCAGAGCACCAGTGTTGCATTCATGCCGCCATAGCACGACACGACCTCTCACAACGCTCCGGCATTCAAACAGCGCGCCGACCGAGAGCGTCACCCTCGCCGCTTCCCGGTGCATGCGGCTGCTCCGCATCGAAACAATGACCCATCAATCCACCTGGCTACATTAAACATGAGTGTGGTCGCTGAGGAATGGCGAGCTAGTTCCACCCGTCCGTTCGTCTGCCGCCCACCATTAATCTCCTCGCCGGTTGCCCTGCCATCTGCCCACTATTTAAACCACATGCCCGACCATAGCCGCATCGATCATCCTCCACTCCCTTCCTACTCTCTGCCCCATGCCTGTAACACCCTGATAATCAAGCTAGAGTAAACCCCTACTAATGGTGCCATGTCATCACAATTACTATTGCTAAACCTCACCTTAATACAAACACAATTCAAATTTAAATTAAAGTCAAATAGTTAAAGTTTTCAAATGGCAAAACTAAAATGTTTATAAAGTGGAAAATAATCCATAGATAATTATGGTGGAGAAACCAACATTTAATAAAGTGGTTAAGTGCCCTATAATAATTAAAACAGGGGCTAAATCAATAATTTAAATGCTTTTTAAATTATAAAAATTTGCAAACTATTTTCTTTGTGTGCCAAACCTTTTGTGGCAGTAGACTAAATTAAAAAACAATTTTAGGTGCTATTTTTATATTTTATAAAACTAAAATAATTTGAAACTAAAAAGGAAAAACCAAAGACAAACAAAAGAAAATAAAGAGAAAGAAAAGGGCCAGGCCAGACTGGGCCTTAGGCCACAATGGCTGGCCGAGCCCACTCCCCACGCGGTTGTCTTCCCCGCACTGTTCGGCCGACCGGGGGCGAGCCCGAGCTCGGTCGCCACTCGACCCCCTCGCCGCCTCCGCCCGTGGATAAAGCCGCCAGCGCCGCGCCTCCTCCTTTCCCTCTCCCACTCGCCCCCCCTCGCTCTCTCCCTCGTCCCCTCGCCCGTGCTCCCCCTCCTCAGATCCCCCCTTCACCCAAGCGCCCATGGCCGCGTTG